CGAAGTCGTCTGACTTAGACTCAGATGCTTTGGTTGCTATCACCTTCCTTCTCTTCATGCCTATGGTCTTCTTCTTCGTCGGATGTGCTGTAATAAGCTAGGGAGCTTCTTCACGTCGCTCCACAATTGTTTGCCTTTTGGCACTAGCTTGGGTCCCCGCTACAAGGACATTGCTCAAAGTTAGTCTAGGTTGTGAATCTGGATTCAACCTAGGGAAGATGATTCCCCCAGATCACTTCGATTTCTTCGATTGCATGGCATACAAAAGCGATCAGCAAAAAGAGTCTAAATATGCAAAAGACTTGGGTTTTTACTGTTTAGGAAAAACTTACAAGCTAAACCTTCTAGATACACCTCAGGGGGAAAGAATCCGTACTTCCGAAGATTTTTAGTCATCATGAGCAGCTTCACGTCACGACCTCTATCAAGTAGTTGGCTGAATCCTTGAATGCAACTGCGATCGGTCAATAGTTGCAATCTAATCGTTTTGTTTTCCCGCAAAGAAAAGAGTTCGTTAGCTTATACCCTGAAAAAGAATTAAGTATAAATGGACGAACGACTTGAAAATGGAAGGAAAAAACCTACTCGATTCTTGCAATTTACAATACTATTGTACTTGAAGAAAAAATATTTGGTTTCATAAACTCCCACGTTACTAGGATAACCAAATATTCCTCCCTCGATCGTTGGTTGTTTGGAGAGGTAGTATGAGTCCTTATCTTTAGCTCTTCCTTAAGATATAGTTGCAAGCGACCTCTAGCGCCATTGGCTCCTCGAGTTCATGTTTGCAAAACAATATATACATAGCGACAGTGATTATATATGCGTTCAATCTTAGCTGGAATGGTACAACCTGGAAGTGGTTGAGAATCAGCCTGATATAGGGTTGGAAAGGTATTCTCACTCCACATTTGAAATAGCTTCCGAGATTGTAGTCATTCTCTCGAGAGGATCTTGGCAGTGTACGTCCTCTTTCGGTTCATGTCCACGTCAATTGTGTATTGTTCTAGCGCCTTTTTGATTTCATCCATTGAGACGATCGACCTTATCACCTTCTCGGGACCTGTAGAGGTACCTGGTGGGTGTGAGCTTTCTTCGTCAATTGTTCTCATTTTAGAGATCTCTATTGGCTCTAGAGTTTGTAAAGGTACGACATTAGAGTAGACTCAAACCTTGAAAAATCTATCTCATACGATGACTCAGAAGACGTGTAAAAGAACCCTATGTTTTTTGCCATGGCCGTCAAGCTTCTAAACCCCTAAAAAACTCCTAAAGTAGTCCTCTAGGACTCTTTACCCTAAGTTTTAAACCTTTGAGTGTTTCTTTCAAACACTGCCCAAGAATGCTTCTTTCCTGAACCTACCAAATACCCTGTAACCACCATGACTATAAAAGAAAGAATTTTTGTAGGAATTTGAAAAAGAGAAAAAGGAAGAAATTTTTGTACCTCTTGGTTGCCTAAAATAGGTGATCTGTTGTACCGTTGGGTTCACATGAACTGGTGAAGGAAGAACAAATTTTTTGGAGTAAGAAAATGCTATTTTCTCTCAGAAAATTTTGAGTTTTCTAAAAAATTAGGGTGAAGTTAGGGTTTTATAGTGAGGAAGATGACACTAAGCTTTTTTATAAGTGACGTTTGGGCGGGATTTCATTCTTAGCCATAGATCACAACCACATGTCATCGATCCATGGGAAGAGTAACTCCCACGCCTCAAAGTAACCAACTGACATTTCTCTTTATCGAGAATGCCAATCACTGGCGTGATTATCTCTTCCGCATTTAATGCGCCTTCATCCCATTTAATGCACCAAAAGGGAATGTCGTTTCAACATGACTTGCATTTAATGCTCATGGCTGACACTTATTGTGCGTAGAGACACGTTTATTAGATAAAGATTACTTTTTTGACCAAGCCAGTTGTCAAGCGCAATAAAAAACATCTGACGAGGTCGTTCAAAGAAGACATTTATTCAACATGTTGAACACGAACACCAAACGAGATGATTCAGAATTTTCAACAATGAAATATTCTAAGTGTTTGCAGGTCGTGAATGACCAATAGAGTTCAAAACACCTTCCTATGACTCAAGACAAGATCAAGCTCAGGTCGTTAGATCTTAGTGAAAGATCATGTTAGGTCGTTTGTGTTACTCTCAAGTCATAGTTCACAAGCTGCATTCAATTTGCAAGTCAAATCAAGACAGCATTTTAGAAATCAGATCGAGCAATCAACTTTAGGTCGTCTGCAACGATGTGGTTACACTTAGCCCTTAGCTCGAGAAAGCATTTCTGAAGTCAAGTCAGACTGTGGCATAATCATGAAGTTCTCAAGATCCAATCCCTTGAATCTCAGGAACTGGGGAGCTTCTATTATGCCTAAAAAAACTAGGGCTGATGTAAGCTTACATCAGCGAGCACTAATCAGAGTTCAAAAAGGCTTTGCGTCACCCAGAATCTGCCACGTTAGCCCAAGATAGAGAGAATACAGTTGTCACCAACTCAGCAAGTTCAAGTTTTGTCTGTGAATGAATGTGGTCCACACACTTGTCTAAGCCCCATATAATTTAAAGATATTTCCTAAGTCATCAGCTAATGGGACGCAAGGAAGGACTTGTATGCCACCTACCCACTTGTAGACTTGTAATCATTACCTTGAACTCAATGGCTATAAATAGAGGACTCCCCCTCACAAAATCAGGACCTCTGACTTCAACAAAACAAATAGCAAGGACAAACCTACGAGAAAGAGACTAGTTTAATATTCTCTCCGAATACCAAGCTCTTGTGTTTTTGTTCACTATTTGCGACCCCTTTGTAACTTGGCTAATAACTAAGAACACTCATATAATAGATAACAGTGAATGTAGGAATGTTTTAAGCATCCGAACCACTATAAAAATTCTAATTATCTCCTTTATTATTAAGTCTTTGCATGAAACTGTGACCTTAATCCAAATCTCATATTAATCATGTGTAATTTCTAAGATTTTTTTAGCATTTTGCACGTGCGATGTTGTTGGCGTCAAAATCACACATCAACAAAAACTTTAACAAAAATATTGATAATTCATATATTAAAATCTAACGGTTGTTAATCATAATTAGAAAAAAAAAAAAAATTGTTTATGTAATCTTCATTTCACATAGAATTTAAATATAGTTTTTAGTTTTTTCATTTTTTAAAAAGAAAGAAATAAGAAATTTCATGAAAACATATTTTATTAAGATGGTTGAAATGTTTTTAAATATAATTTTTTTTAAACAATCTAAAAAACTGCTTTTCTCAAATTTTTGTAAGTTTTATTTTTTAAAACTATTTTTAAAATATCATGTCAAATATATTGTCAGATATTAAAAATAAAATTATTTTGCAATCACAAACGGCTAAATTTAAGGTTTTTTTCAAAGCTTTGGTGACTTTATATTAATTTATTAGTCATTTTCCTACTCCAACTGTAAGTCATGTAACTATGAGACTGTTTGGATGATTTTATGAAAATTAGTTTATAAGCAGCTAGTGCTTATAAGCTAATTTGAGCTTATAAGCATTTGAAATTTAAAGCAGTTACGGGTGCATTTGGTTCATTATTCTGATACTTTTTTTAATAATATTTTGGAAAAAATAAAATTCAGTGGGTATTACAATGTAGGATTTGAAAATTAACAAAATACCTCATATGTTTGTTTATTTAATATTTTGGAAAAAATAAAATTCAGTGGGTATTACAATGTAGGATTTGAAAATTAACAAAATACCTCATATGTTTGTTTATTTATTAAGCACCCCTATAATAAAATATTAAAAATTAACAAAAACACCTCCACTCACCCATTAAATACCGACAGCCGGCCACCACTATCGGAGAGTGGCTGGAGTCGTTGAATCGGTGCACGATCGGCTGGATCTAACCTATCGTGCGCCAATATAGCTTTTTCCAGCCAGATCCACGGTGGATCTGACTGGAAAATGCTAGATCTACGGCTAGATCTGACCATTGACGGCTAGATCTAGTCGCATTTGGTCGTCAACGACGGCCACAGATATGACCGTCGTTGATGGTCAACGACAACCATATCTTGGCCGTCGTTGACGACTAGCTACGACCAAAGATCTAGTTGTCAACAACCAGATTTTTGGCCATAGATTTGACCTTTTCTGACCAGATCTACCGTGGATCTGACCAAAAAAGGCTAGATCGGTGTACTACCGGTCAGATCCAGCAGGCAGTGCACCATTATACAAGATTCAAGCCAACTTCCGACGGTGGTGACCGAAATCTGGCAAATGTGGGTTGTTAGGGGCGTTTTTATCAATTTTTAAAATTTATTTGGGGGGTGTTTAGTTAAATTAATAAATTTAGGAGGTTTAAAAAAAATAAAATAATATAGAATAATATTTTGAATTGTTTGGATTGATATACTAATTCTACTGTTTAACTTTATTGGGAAAATTAGAATAATATTTTAAAGAGTTAATCCAACGGACTGTGTTTGATTAAAGCACTTATAACTGACTGATAAGTAATTAACGTATTTGATAAAATATGATTTATAAATACATGTTATTATTTAAATGACTAAAAATGATGCCTACTTTATTTTATCAAAAAATAAATTATATGATCTCCTGTAACCGTTTTTCAAAAATACAAAAATCTTAATAAGATCCACGTATCTTTGTCTTTTTCATTCACAGCCTTGATGTTTTTAATTTCTCGTATCATTTTCTACCAAACAAAATCTTCACTTTCTCTTCCTCCTCCCTCCAATAATTAGACTTTATTTTCTGTCTATTCCCTCATCTCTTTCTTTGAAGATCATGACTCTTCCGTTATACGTTGCGGCATCGTTTTCTCCTTCTCCAAAATTCATCAAATTTCCACCGCCGTGGTCCTTGTCGTCGTCGTGTTTCCGAGTAGTGTGTCTGGGCGGATCCCACGCGCCGTACGCCACGAGTGAGCTGAAGTTGGCGTTGCACGACGCTTTGGACGCTACTGCAATCGATACAACCTATGCCTGAGTAATCATTCTCATTTCTTATTTTTTTTTTTTTTTCAATTAATTTTGATTCTATTATTGATTTATGTTCATCCCCTACTGGTGATTTTAATAATTTAAGTGATTTCCCTATCTGGGTTTGTTGGCTTTTGGAGTTTTTCATTATGGATCTTGTTATATATATCATATTAATGTGTCTGTTTTTTCATGAATTTGGATGCTTTTATTGAATGGTATTGAACAATTGATTGATCTTTTTTTGTATGTGTGTGTAATTTAAGTGGGTTTGTGGGGGGTCTCATTTATATTTACCGTGTATCGTGTCTGTTTTTCACGAATTTTGATTCTTTTATTGAGTCACATTGATTTTTATACTGTAATTTTGGTGATTTTTTTATCTGGGTTTGTTGGTTTTTGGCGTTTTAAATTATGGGTCCTGTCATATATAATATTAGCATTTCTATTATTTCTTGAATTTTGATGCCTTTGTTGAGTCAGATTGATGCTATTCATCTGAATTTCTTTACTTTAAGTCATTTTGCACTCTGGGTTTGTTGATTTTTGGTGTTTTGCATTGTTGGTCTTGTTATATTTATAATATCAGCATGTTTGTCACATGTTTGTTTCTCTTAGGTTTTGAGCCATAGTGATGTTTTTTATGTGATTTTGCTATCTGGTTTGTTTATTTTTCGTGTTTTATATTGCGGATCTTCATTGCAAAGTCATATTTATAACACTAAAATGTATGTTTTTCATGGATTTTTTATGCTTTTATTGAGTCAGATTAATGTTTATATTGTGCTTTTGCTATCTGGGTTTGTTGATTTTCGGTGCTTTACATTGTTGCTCCTGTTATATTTATAATCTTAGCATGTCTGCTTTTAAGGCACTTTGGCCCTCTTAATGAGCCAGATTGATACTCTCCATATGATTCTATGTAATCTAAGTGACTTTTTCCATCTGGGTTTGTTGATTTTTGGTCTTTTAGATTGTCGGTCTTGTGTATTTCTTTGGTGATATCATAGTGAACTCATGTTTATAGTATTAAAATGTCTGTTTATCATAAGTTTGATGCTTTTCTTTTAGTCAGATTAATTTTTATCTTCTCATTTTGCAAAGTTTAAAAGCTTTTGTTATTTGGGTTTGTTGATTTTTCATGCATTATGTTGTTCGTCTTGTTTTGTATTTCAATGGATGATAATATTAAAGCAACATCATATTTATAGTATTTAGTCTCAAATTAATAACAAAATAAGAATTGTAATACTGCATCATTTTATTAATAAATAATTCATAACCCATAGGCCATAACTGTTACTGTTTTCACATTGTCTTTGGCCTGGATCTTATTAAGCCAGTGTCAGAGTGGTCTTGTACTTCTGTAATTTCTAGTTTCCATATTATATTGCAGTATTTAAATCTACTCCTCGAAAAATGATAAGTGTCCCGATTGTTTCACAATTTCTACTTCTGGATTGGAATTGATTTGGAATCGTTATCAATAGAACCTTGGATATAAGCAAATTTGAATCTTATCTCTTTCACATGATCTTTTGTATTTAAGGGTTCCGGTTTCTGTGTCATTACAGAACTTTCATTATTGAATTTGTTTTATCTGTGGAAGTCTAGAATATTGGTTTATAAGTGCTTTTATGGTAAGAATTACGCGTGAAAATGACATTCCTGTATAAAAAAAGAGTCGAATCTTTAGAAGTTAAAATTTTTTTATTAATGGATTTTTAATCTTATGCACGAAAGATCCTTGAATGACTGAAGAATTTGTTGAAGATTAATGGCTAAGATTTCTACAAGATGTTTTATTTTCTATATGTATATATATATATTCTTCATAATTGCAGAAGATGTTGACTGTAAATGAGAAGATAATTTTGATTATGAAGAAAAAGGAAGATGATCTTGTATTTACAAACATGAGAATTATACAAAACAATAAGGATCTGCTCATTTATGTCTCCTGAGAATGATTTTTTTTATCTTCAGAAAATAAGAAAAGCACATTCAATTATTTTTGGAGACTTTTTTTTGGTAAAATAGAAAATCTCATTTTCATCTTTAACAAAGAAAAGAAAAAGCTTGTGCATTGTTTTCTCTAGGGTTCATTTCTCAAAACCATTAAGCACTTTTGAGTTGTTTAATTAAGTCTTTTTAACTTTATTTTTAAGATTATTAAGAATTTTTATATAAGGTATTCTACTATTGTATGTTTAAAATATATTGTTCTCATTTTCACAAAATAAAATAAAATAAACTCTGAATGCATTTCATTGTTTTCATTTTTTGAATTCATTTTGTCAAAACATTTTCTTAAAGCAATACCAACTGGCTCCTAATTTTTCCTGAATAAATTTTGGGAAAAGGAAATAAATGTGTTTTGGAGGACTGATAAGGACATTCCAATGAGACAATTAACTATAATCTGGTGAATCTTAATGACTCGGGTTAATGAAGGGTTTGAACCTAATTTACCCAGAAGGACTTGTTCATTGACTTAAGTATCATTTATCTACTACTAGGTTAATGGCGTGTTAATTAGTTTTCTTAGTGAACCGAGAAATATTACTGTTTTCTCAAATTGATGTGCATCGTATCATCCGCAAGGATGAAAGAAATAAAAACAAAAAAGTAAATATTTTTTAAATTTGTGCACCAGGTGATTTGTGTTTTGCCATTTTTTTGACCAGAAAAACATGTTTGTGCTTTCTGATTATATCAGTGGGATGATTAAATTGAATAATATGTTAACTACTTTACATCTCTTTATTCCATATGAAAGTTAAATTCTTTAATTTCAATTTTTTTTTTTATGTTTAAACAGGAGGCTAGGGAGGGTTTTTATTCTCAGATCAATAAATTATCCAATATTGAAAAGGAAACCAGTATTAGCATTTATAGATGTGTTGATTTGGGGAAAACAGCTCCTCATATAGCAGCAGAGGATGACTCCCTGATATCACATTCATCAGTTCCTCTCCCTGTGAATGCTTTCATCGACCGATTGGATGATCTTTCCGTGGGATATTGCCCTCATTATAACTCATCTTTGAAGTCATCATGAGAAATTTTTTTTGGATAGTATAGAGAGATATTTGTTTGATAAAAAGGTTGGTAGACATATTTACAGTAGTAAATTTAGTATTCTTGCTAATGTTTTCTAAGCTAATCTTTTCGTTTTACTCAAATAAAAGGAAATGCAGTGAAGGAAGGAGTACATTTTTGTATTTTTATGACACTTAGAAGTTTATATAGTGTAAGTGGTCAGCAGGTTAGCATTATCATGCGTGTTTGTATAGTTCCTGATTCCCCTCTGCTGGGAGTCGTTTCGTACTCTTGTGGAATCTGATCCAGTTTTTTAATTTCTATCGATATACATCTAATCAGCATCCTATCGGAAAAAATGAATAAAATAAATTTGCAAACATGAGGAATGACATGAGCAGACTGCAGAACCTATGGAACTAGAATGTCCTAATAAGTGTGCCAACTGCTATGTACTGAATGAAGTAAAGAGTTCTTCATCGTCTTCATGTGCTTCTGTTTTCTTTTATATCAAATCCAAAATGTGTTTATTAAAACTGTATAGTGTATCTTCAGGCGTTGGAGCTTTCTTATACCTGATTTGATGATTTCATGTTAGGGTTTTTAGAGAACTAGTGTGAGGAATCAAATAGATCCAAGAGCGCTATTTCTTCACTCAGTATGGAATTCTTCCTTTTCTCAACAATTCTATATTCCTCATTGGAGAAAACATTATCATAAGGGAATTTTTCTGTTATTTATCTTAACATCATGAGCAGGTTTTGACGCATCGCTCTGGCTCCGCTGTTGTGCTATTGCTTATATACTCAGAAATTCTGAAAATGCTTCACTTAACATCATGAGTAGATTTTGATGTGGAGATAGCATTCCCTCTTGACCATGGTCTTCCTAGGGGATATCAGAAGCAGAAGAGCAGGGAATCTGATAAGTCACACATTATGACTGTGCAAATATTGTTGGAGGAGGTACTTTTCTATACTTGCTCAAATTTGTATTATTTTTCTTTCCTGTATTTAGCAAACCTCAAGTCTGTTAAGCTTAGATACTAGATATATGTTATTCGGTGTTTTTGTTTTAAAAAAAAAAATGCATTCGGAAATAAAAATAAGAAGTTTGATTTTTTGTTCTCGGAATTTGAAATTGTGTAAATAAAAACAGTAAAAAATTTATTTTTTGAATACAGTATCTGAAAATGAAAACAGTATTCGCTGTCATTTTCTTATGATAAATATAAAATTTAGAGAATTAAAGGACGGAAAACATCTTTTTTAAGTTTTGTGTTTTCAATTCTTAAATAAAGATTGAATTCTTCATTTTTCATATTTTCTTTTTACAAAGGGTAAATGGTAAGTGAACAAATATCTGTGTCATGATAACTGTTTTCTGGAACTAATCAGCAAATCAATTGTGGATTCATTTGTGTTGGCAGATAAAGGGTTGTATTTTCTCTCCCACTTTCAGTTTGTTGCATTGCTAGATTTATCAGGTAGACCAATATGGTACTAAGGAACTAAAGTAAATAATTTGCAATTATCATATGACAAATTGCATTTGGGAAATTAAGGAAAGAAGACCGAAGATCCATTATGGTACGTGGATGTGTGCCCCTACTCGTGAAATGTTAGAAATGATTTCTATTATGTTTTGTCATATATGAGTTAGTTGACTTTGGGAATGATTATTGATTTTTGTGTTTCCTTCTTTTTTAATTCCCATAGTTGGATCATCATACTTAGATCAGGAGTATTTCCCTGTGACATTCAATCGAAGAAAAAATGCAATATGGTGCTGTTTTAGATCATTGTTTATGTAATAGTTAACTAATTGATTATTGTCAGTTAACTAATTTGAAAATGCATATATTCTAATTTTTCAGAAAGACGGCATGTTAAATATTCACAAGATTCATGAAATTCATATGCATTTATGAGACTATTGTACACAATTCCACTTTAATGCGTTTGAATTGAAGTTAAGCTTAGAGATTCATTTATATTTTGCAACATTAATAATATATGGTATATGCTGGGGTTATAAAATAGAATAGAAAAAGAACATCATTGAGGGACTTATTGAAGGCTAGCATTAGATATACAAAGAGATTCAAATTAAAGTTTTCTTCGGAAATATGCATTTTGAGAAAGCATAGAAATGTGATTTCGTGTGAGTTTAGTATATCATTGCCGACATTCTCAAAAATGTCCATATAAGAAAAAATATCAAATAAGCTCTATGCAATTGAGTCTTGTTTGGATTCTTTGTGAGATGTTCCTGTTTACGTTCACGGCATGGCTGCTATCTTTCAGGCTCTTTATTTGGTTTATGTATGGCAGTGCCTGCTTCAGTTTATATTTGCTTACGATACTATACAATGCTGTGCAGATTTTAAGGAATTTAAAGAGTGCTTTCTGGCCATTTCAACATGATTTCTTCCGGAGTTTGTTCTTAAGGACAGCACATGCTGCTACCTGCATTGAACAATTAAACAGTGAAGACAGGTAGTTGAACTATATTGCAAACTAACCTGTGATTATACCAAAACTCTTTGTAGTTTTTATAATCTCCACTGAGATTTCTTTCTCCCCCACTTTGGGCTCTATTTATTCTGATTTCATTATTTTTCTACTGCAGTGGGTTGCAGCTTGCATCAGCGAAGGCTGCTAAACACAGGTTAGAGCGTGGTGTTTTGGACTAGTGTACGCATTGGGGATATGAGATGTGCATTAGCTGGTATGTAATTGTAAGATAATTGATGTGTTTAGCATATTCTTTTTTGTACTTATGCTGATTATGCAAGAATGTGAGATAAAAAAACAAGATACATTTGGCATGCTGTTGTTGGCATGTTTTCATGTAAAGCCATAGAGATTGAAGTAAAAAAAATATAAAAAATAATCAAAATGTCAAAAGTTAATAATAATAATAAAAAAAGGTCATAAATATCCCATCTTCGTCTTCACAGCAACGAAATCTTCATCTTCCCCACAAACAAAACCAAACCCTCACTTTTCCATCAAAATCTAAACAGTACAAACAATTCGCCAAAATTGAATCAATCCAATTGTCTTAAACAACACAAATATCACAGCTACAACCACAAACAATCATTGATTTCGGTTTTTTATTATTATTATTATTATTATTATTTGAGTTGTGTCAAAGGTAAATGGATCAAGTCGGGGGTGGATTGGGTTTGTTGGCGGAGCACGCTTGCAGGGCTGTTGAGCCTAGCCTTTAAGCTGCTGTTATTGGCAGTTTGTGGCCTTGCAATGGCTGTCATGGCAACGCGCCTAGCAGTGATTGCTAAAGCGGCTTCATGGCCTTGCCGGCGATGCCAGGCCGTGGCTTTGCAGCCTTGGATAGTGGCATCCATGGCCGCTTGGAGGCTGTCATTGGAATTAACTTGAATGTGAGGATATGAGTTTTTAAGTCGGGTTTGTAGATGTTAATAGATTTTAGGCGTTTTAAGTTTTTTTGACTTGATTGGAGTTTTTAGGGCCAGGGATTTGGATTACATTGAGGGTGTGGAAATTTCACAGTGGAATTATTTAATTTAATTATGATTTTAGGTTCAAAGTGAGGATCAGTTGACTTTCTTTTTTTATGGTTTTATTTTAGAATTAGGGGTAAATAAGGAATTTCACTATTAAGTGTGTCAGAAGACAGATTTCATCAACTCTAACAAATGATAGGCGGTCAGGACTATTTTCAATACCAGAGTTTATTAGAGTTAGGGCATACCTCAGGGGGTTAAAGTAAGTTTCTCTTGGAAATATATATAATAATTTAGGGAGATGATTGATTGGGAATAATAATACTAGACGTATAAAGAAATCTTACAAATATTTCTATATAAAGTGGTGTGACACCTTCATTCATTTTTTGTCACATGACTTTGTATAGATTTCTTTATAGTGTTAAGAGTTATTAGAGTTAGGGCATACCTCAAATTCCTCTTTAGAATATATATATATATATATAGTCTTTAGTCTTGACACTAAGTAAGTGAACTTCACTAACAGAACTTGAGAATTTTGCTTCAAAGAGTCCAAATTTCACCAAGAAAAAGACGTGAAAACTTGGTGAAAAAGGACATGGCATTTATGAGCCACCATCTTTAGTCTTTACAGCTTAAAATATAGAAGACTGTGTAATCTATATTATTAGATAATTGTATTTAAATTAATTGTATTGATAGAGGAAGGAATTACGATTGCATTTTATAATTAATAAATATTGAGTAGTTATATAAGTATATTATATATTCAGTGTTTTGACCTGAAATGCCCTCCATGATCTAGTCACTGGATCATGTATACATGATAAGTGTGTTCTTCGACAAAAAAGAAGATGAACATAAGTGGAATGAACTAGGGAGTGCCTCCGTTGTTTTGGATTTTTGTTGTGATTATTTAAGTGAAGGTAAAAAATGCTGTGAGGTGAAAAAATGCGGGGTTAATTTAGATTCCAGTGAGAGGTAGCGATGGCCAATTACAGGGTTCGGACTGAAACTGTAGAAACCCCAACTCGAGTCATGCCTCATCTGACCATGCTCGTCTTTGATCGTGAACTCACAAATAAAGGTAAATTCTCTGCTATCAACAGACTATTGATTTATAGTTCATAAGACTATTGAGTGTTATAGAAGATCCCATATTTACCAATTTGGAATTTCATTTCCAGGGAAACAGCCAAGCCAGAATGGTTCTGAATGCTTCCGCCCCTGCACCAAGAAAGTCACTACTTTTAAAAGAGAAGTAGGGCAACAATTAAATTATATAATACCCAAAATAAGAAAGAAAGTTATTCCTCAACCTAAAACTACCTTAAAGTTGATAATGGAGTATCTCAAGAATTAAATTAGTTAAATTTATGGGGTGCAATAAAAAAAGTCATTTTAAAACTTTGAAATGGAGTATCTCAAGAAATTGGGTTTCTTTAGTCTATTAGTAGATGTCAATAGCTCTTTCAAAATTCATAATTCTTAATAGAATTTTTTTTTTTTTTTAAACCAAGTTGTCCAAACCAATTTACACACACCTTAACTAATCCTTAAAAGAGATTATCATAGATTTCGTTCTTTTAACCTGTACTATTTCATTGGGCTTTTTACCCAATACAAAATGGTTTAACCATTATTAATATAAATGGATATGAAATAGGTAA